GAAAATATGAGAGTTAAGGACTAACTAAGTTCTTCCTTGCATTCTTTCAGGACCCTGGCAGGCTTTTTCTGGTCCTAGGGAATTTCTGGGTTAAATTGCTTATATTTGTGACTTCCTCCTTGGTATCAACTCAAGCCAATATGAGCTGCCTCCCATGGGCTAGTGTTGTATCCACATTATTATGTAGAAATTAGTTTTCTTTCAGACGTATTAACAGCGGAAGCTCTTTCTGATCGTGTTTGAGAGTAGTGAATGAATTCGGAGCAGTATATGGCGTCACCTGGGGCCAGATTCACGAAAGCACTTAAGCAAACACTTACGAACCTGTACATCTTTTCTTAATCTTTAGCGATTTTGTTTACAATTATTAAACAGTTAATGAGCTCCGAAGCACCATGAGGCTGTTTATAACAAAAACAACAGAGAAATGGGAAGTTTTCATGCTTGTAAACTGTTTAATAAATGTAACCAAAGCCGTCAAAGATTGAGGAAAGATGTACACGTTCGTAAGTGCTTGCGTAAGTTCTTTCGTGAATCTGGCCCCTGGACACCGGAAGGTTTGAGAGGGTCACCGGTTGGGCTAGGCCGGATAACTGCCCTCGGCCGGTATTACAGAATGGCTTCCGGTACTGACCGGAAGCAACAGTTTGGGAGGGTTTGTGACGTCGGGGTGTGTGGAGGCGCAACACCCGTCACCGGATGTGGTTTGGGAAAGTTGAATAAATACTGATGGAAGCAAGTGGCAGTCAGTGGTGGATAGGGCGTCAACAAGGCAGAAGCCCTGGAAACACAAACCGAAACTGTCTCTATTTTCCGCTTGTTACAACTTGTAATAAAGTTGTTACATTTTGGCTTAACGTGTTTATGACGTATTAGAACGTTGTTACAACTTGCTATATTGGTTGTTATAACTGGTTAGGAGGTGTTAAAACTTGTTCGAACGTTGTACCAACGTCGTAGTTTCGCTGTGTGTTTGGCGGGAGGCCAGGACCTGTGGTGACCTCTGCTGGCATAGTTGAGATTGGTTTGACATCGCCCAAATTGGTTGCTCTCTCCACACACACACACACACAGTGCCGTGCAGTCGTCCTTGGTGAAGTTGGGAGTGTTGGTGAGTAGCCTGGAGAGTATTATAAGTGACTATAACATTTGGCTGATAATTTGGGTACAGAATTTAGGGAATTCTCCAGAGATTAGGAGTTATTATGGTTTAGGTTGTGACTGTGACAGGTGTGGGGAGGCAGGCGGGGTGACAGGTGTGGGGAGGCAGGTGGGTGTGACAGGTGTGAGGAGGCAGGTGGGTGTGACAGGTATGGGGAAGCAGGCGGTGTGACAGGTGTGGGGAGGCAGGTGGGTGTGACAGGTGTGGGGAAGCAGGCGGTGTGACAGGTGTGGGGAGGCAGGCGGGGTGTGGATGTTACTGTGTTGGCAGTGAATCCAACGGTGAACATTAGTACCATGTAGTACAGGACAGTAATATGACGGGGAGCCCGTCCATTACACCCCAACAAGTCCGGGACTTTGTGGTGCGTCACGGCCAGGACCGTCCACAGTAGTGTAAAAGGAGACAATTTTTTACCTCAATTTGTCTCCTTTTACACTACTGTCCACTACCCTGACACTGTAACCACCATACATAAAGATGCTCAAAGCAAATGTAAGAGAGATTACGGGCTATTCATGCCCGTGCCACCTCTTGGGTGGCTTAATCTTTATCAATCATCAATCAAATGTAAGAGACAAGAATAGAGAGTACCGGAGACATCCCACTGACAGCAATCAAGAGTTATTTAAAACTGTATCAAGTAGCCAGAGAAGAGAAGATTAAAGGGCGGGAAAGACAATGGTTTGACTTCACTAGTTCTATTGGAAGATGAACATCCGCGAGACAAGTGTGGGGCAAAGATACAGATAGGGGAGCAGAACCCGGCCTGCGGCTCACAAAGACCCAAAGGGTAAGGCTGAGGAACTATATATATATATATATATATATATATATATATATATATATATATATATATATATATATATATATATATATATATATATATATATGTTTCATTGAATATGACCGCATATTCTGTATTTATTATTTTCTGGTTTAGGGCTTCTATCCCTCTAACTATTTTCTTAGCATCAGGGCTTAATTGAAATAGGAGTTCTCCAAAACTCATTTTCGTACTTTTAAGGTGAAGAAAAGAAGTGATTTACTATAGAGTGTATTACACTTATTTATATAATTTGCACGACGTTTCGAACCTCCATGGTTCATTCTCAAGTGAACAGATCTTACGATACTAGTTGATTTTATACCCGCATTAGGTCAGGTGATAATACAATGAAGGTGAAAACATGGGGGGATACATAAGGGATAAACATAGGGGCTGCAGAAGGCTTATTGGCCCATACGAGGCATCTCCTATCTAAACACAAAGATTAATCCAGTGTAATTGGCCTGTTATGTTGGACATTGTCTTCTGTGTTGGCATCGATATGTTCTTGTCTTGTCCTTACTCTCATGGTGGGTAGAGTAAATAGTTCCGTGATTTGGGTGTTCATGGTAGGTCGCTCTATTCTTATGTGAATTGCCTCAAGAATTTGTAATCTTCTTGAATCTTGGGTTTTGTCTATTATGCAAGTATTCTTGTTCAACATTTCTCTTGTTAGAGTAATGTCATGGGCTTGTCTCATGTGATTCCTAGGGGCACCAGATTGCCAAGCTGACGAGGCGTTTGACATGCCATCTTCAATCTGGTGCCCCTAGGAATCACATGAGACAAGCCCATGACATTACTCTAACAAGAGAAATGTTGAACAAGAATACTTGCATAATAGACAAAACCCAAGATTCAAGAAGATTACAAATTCTTGAGGCAATTCACATAAGAATAGAGCGACCTACCATGAACACCCAAATCACGGAACTATTTACTCTACCCACCATGAGAGTAAGGACAAGACAAGAACATATCGATGCCAACACAGAAGACAATGTCCAACATAACAGGCCAATTACACTGGATTAATCTTTGTGTTTAGATAGGAGATGCCTCGTATGGGCCAATAAGCCTTCTGCAGCCCCTATGTTTATCCCTTATGTATCCCCCCATGTTTTTCACCTTCATTGTATTATCACCTGACCTAATGCGGGTATAAAATCAACTAGTATTGTAAGATCTGTTCACTTGAGAATGAACCATGGAGGTTCGAAACGTCGTGCAAATTATACAAATAAGTGTAAATACACTCTATAGTAAATCACTTCTTTTCTTCACCTTAAAAGTACGAAAATGAGTTTTGGAGAACTCCTATTCCAATTAAGCCCTGATGCTAAGAAAATAGTTAGAGGGATAGAAGCCCTAAACCAGAAAATAATAAATACAGAATATGCGGTCATATTCAATGAAACATGTTTGAAAGAAAACCTGCTGCCAGTATACACCAATATATATATATATATATATATATATATATATATATATATATATATATATAATAATATATAATATAATGTTATGCAACTGTTCATGTGATCTTTAATGAAGGCTTGTTGCTATATTTGAACCTGATTCATAGCTACACATCAAATTAAATTTAGTGTGAGAACTCGTGACCTACTCTTATTAATTGCACTTGCATTTGAGGAGGTCAACGACCTAGTGGATGAGGATTTCTAACTTGATTCAAATCCTGGTGTTTGCTCTCGCCCTTCTATGAATTCTACCTTAAAGTACAAGCTGCATCTGACACTTAACGTGTTAGCTTATGCAGTCCTTCCTGATCGAGTTCAACCTGTAAGGTAAATAGAAAAATCTTAGTGAGAATGACGGAGACCGCCTTGATCACTACCTGAGAGAATGTGAACATCTGAGAGACATTACCTGGTTGATACCTGGTTGATGGGGTTCTGGGAGTTCTTCTACTCCCCAAGCCCGGCCCGAGGCCAGGCTCGACTTGTGAGAGTTTGGTTCACCAGGCTGTTGCTTGGAGCGGCCCGCAGGCCCACATACCCACCACAGCCCGGTTGGTCCGGCACTCCTTGGACATTATAACATTATAACTATGTGTAGTATAATAAACCCCATATTGCTTGAGTTAGGAAAATACTGTTCTTAAAAGATTTCGCCCATTTTGCACCCGCAAGATAACTTAAGATTTTAAGTGTTGATAATGCTAATCTCTTGTTAGAACAGCTGTTCATTTGATACAGTTTAGCAAGTCCCAGCTGTGTCTGGGTAGAAATGACAGGATGAACAACCTAGCGGGTTTTCTTCCTATTGGGGAGTGTTGTACATGCTGCTGTGCCGGTATGTCCACTCACAGGATGAATGACGCTGCCCAATAAACTCGACCCTCGGGGCAAAATTTAAATAACAACCATCCAAACACCACCAATGTCACTGTGACCCAGCACCACACAACACCACCCACACAAACCCACACAACTACCAAACCCCATTACCACATCATCCACCACCACCCCACACTACCACTACCCACCACCACCACACAACACCACCCACACAACTACCAAACCCCATTACCACATCATCCACCACCACCCCACACTACCACTACCCACCACCACCACTCACCACCACCACCCCACACTAACCCACACAACTACCAAACCCCATTACCACATCATCCACCACCACCCCACACTACCACTACCCACCACCACCACTCACCACCACCACCCCACACTACCACTACCCACCACCACCACTCACCACCACCACTACCCACCACCACCACTCACCACCACCACCACCCCACACTACCACTACCCACCACCACCACCCCACACTACCACTACCCACCACCACCACTCACCACCACCTACCAGCACACCCCTCCCAACACTTCCGTCATTCTACATTTTTTATTTTTATTTTATTTTATTTACATATATACAAGAAGGTACATTGGGTTTGTGAGAATACATTGGATAGTACAGTATTTACATGTACTAACGATCATTGTGGTTGTTCCGCCAGGGGGAACCAGCCAGGAGGGACCAGCCACGGGGAAGCCATGCCACACTACAAGCTGGTATACTTCAACCTGCGGGGACGCGGTGAACCCATCCGCTGGGTCCTAGTGGCCGCCCACCAGCCCTTCGACGACGTCCGCTACAACAGGGAGACGGAGTGGCCCTTCAAAAAACCAGGTAAGTCACCCTTTAAATTGCCAGATAAGTAGCTTCGAAAGCAGCAGGTGAGCGAACCTATATTTTGCTAGATGAGTTTAAACCAATTTAGTTTTGTTTGAAAGTGTTAGACATTAGGTGTGAAATGGCCAGAGAATTACTCTTTCAATGTCTTCATATGCCATTTTTTCCCCTGCCTGATGTGTCCCTTTAAAAGTCAAGTGAATATTTTTTTTCAAAATAACATACTGTAACTTCAACTACTGTGTGTCATTGTGGTTGTTTCTTCTCAAACATAAGCGAGTCATCCATCAAAAAATTGGGGAAATTTGTCAATAATAATATATTTGGCTTATATCCCTGCAGTATGTGACAAATAAATTCAATGTGATAAATCACACGAGTTTATTACATTTAATTTCCAACACACACACACCGCGGCTGAGTGGACAGCGCTCTGGGGTTGTAGTCCTAAGGGCCCGTGTTAGATCCCCAGCAGAGGCAGAAATGAATGGGCAGAGTTTCTTTCACCCTGATGCACTGATCACCTAGCAGTAAATATGTACCTGGGAGTTAGACAGCTGCTACGGGCTGCTTCCTGGGGATTGTGTGTGTGTGTGTTAGAGAGAAATGTATGTAGAAAACATAATAGAGGCACACACACACACACACACACACACACACACACACACACACACACACAGAACTTTGTGGAACATCTGGAGCGATAGAACTTTGTAACACAGCATCAACATGGGTTCAGGGATGGCAAGTCCTGCCTCACAGGGCTAATTGAATTTTACGACCAGGCAACAAAAATCAGGCAAGAAAGAGAGGGGTGGGCAGACTGTATACTTTTGGATTGTCAAAAAGCCTTTGATACAGTACCACACAAGAGGCTAGTGAGAAAGCTGGAGATGCAGGGTGGAGTGAAAGGGAAAGTACTTCGTTGGATACGGGAGTACCTAAGTAACAGAAGACAACGCGTCACTGTGAGGGATGAGGTCTCAGATTGGCGAGACGTCACAAGTAGAGTCTCGCAGGGGTCAGTCCTTGGACCTATACTGTTCCTGATATATGTAAATGATCTCCCACAGGGTATAGAATAGTTTCTCTCAATGTTCGCTGATGATGCAAAGATTATGAGGAGGATTGAAACAGAGGATGATAGTAGGAGGCTACAAGATGACCTAGACAGACTGAGTGAATGGTCCAACAAATGGCTGTTGAAGTTCAACCCGAGTAAATGCAAAGTAATGAAACTAGGCAGTGGAAACAGGAGGCCAGACATAGGATACAGAATAGGAGATGAAGTACTTAACGAAACGGACAGATAGAAAGATCTAGGAGTTGATATCACACCAAACCTGTCTCCTGAAGCCCACATAAAAAGAATAACGTCTGCGGCATATGCGAGGCTGGCTAACATCAGAACAGCGTTCAGGAACCTGTGTAAGGAATCATTCAGAATCTTGTACACCACATATGTAGGACCAATCCTGGAGTATGCGGCCCCAGCATGGAGCCCGTACCTTGTCAAGCACAAGACGAAGCTGGAAAAAGTCCAAAGGTATGCCACTAGACTAGTCCCAGAACTAAGAGGCATGAGTTACGAGGAAAGGCTGCGGGAAATGCACCTTACGACCCTGGAGGATAGAAGAGTAAGGGGAGACATGATCACAACCTACAAAATCCTCAGGGAAATCGACCGGGTAAACAAGGATAAGCTATTCAACGCTGGTGGTATGCGAACAAGGGGACACAGGTGGAAACCGAGTACCCACATGAGCCACAGAGACGTTAGAAGGAACTTTTTCAGTGTCAGAGTAGTTAACGGATGGAATACATTAGGCAGTGATGTGGTGGAGGCTGACTCCATACACAGTTTCAAATGTAGATATGATAGTGCCCAGTAGGCTCAGGAATCTGTACACCAGTTGATTGACAGTTGAGAGGCGGGACCAAAGAGCCAAAGCTCAACCCACGCAAGCACAAATAGGTGAGTACACACACACAAAAAAAAAAACACAGACACACACACATTTTATATATATATATATATATATATATATATATATATATATATATATATATATATATATATATATATATATATATATATATATATATATATATATATATATATGCATATATATATATATATATATATATATATATATATATATATATATATATATATATATATATATATATATATATATATATATATATATATATATATATATATATATATATATATATATATATATATATATATATATATATATATATATATATATATATATATATATATATATATATATATATATATATATATATATATATATATATATATATATATATATGTCGTACCTAGTAGCCAGAACGCACTTCTCAGCCTACTATGCAAGGCTCGATTTGCCTATTAAGCTAAGTTTTCCTGAATTAATATATTTTCTCTAATTTTTTTCTTATGAAATGATAAAGCTACCCATTTCATTATGTATGAGGTCAATTTTTTTTTATTGGAGTTAAAATTAACGTAGATATATGACCGAACCTAACCAACCCTACCTAACCTATCTTTATAGGTTAGGTTAGGTAGCCGATAAAGTTAGATTAGATATATATATATATATATATATATATATATATATATATATCTATCTATCTATCTCCAAGAAGACCTGATTGTCGTCCCTTGATGCCTGATAAATTGTTGGATAAAATTTTGGATACTCGCCTCACTCAGACAATTCATTTGGTTGGGGACAGGAAGCCTGTGCATGTATATATTACTTTGGTTTGTATCGAGGTTCCTCCCCCCCCCCCTCCCCCAAGGTTGAACTTGGATACTGAACTGTCCCCAGGATTTAGCACCATAAAAGTTGCCTAACTCCTGGGAACCTGTTTAGTGCTAGGGAGTAATTATCAGGAAAAGTGCTAAGCCATTACGAATATATATAGCACTTGGAAAGGGTCAGGATAAGGATTTGGGATGGGACGGGGTAAAGGAATGGTACCCAACCATTTGGACGGTCGGGGATTGAACGCAGAGCTTCAAGTAGCGAGATCGTCACTCTTCCATCCCGTCCAAGTGGATGATATTTACTGCTAAGTGAACAGAGGCATTAAGCGAACGGAAACTTGCCCAACCTTTTTTGTCAAATCTGGTCCGTCACACTTCTCGGTGAGTTTCTTCATATCCTCGGTTTTCTCTCTCGTTCATTACTTAATTTGTTTTCCTCTTGATGTGGAGGGGAGAATTGTTAGTTATATATTATCTATAATTTGTTCATTAACATATAATTTGTGTGTTTAGTCTACCTGCATTTTGTCGAAAAGTATATAGATCCGTACTTAGTTATTTTCAGTATATCTTAATCAGTATTATGTAATAATAATAATAATAATAATAATAATAATAATAATAAGAATATTGAACAAATTCACAAGTGCCTTGATGAGAATTAGAACCTATGCGCTGGGTGTTCCCAGACACACACTAGTCAACTGTACCACAACATGGTAAAAGAATTGCAACCTGGAGTGCTACTGCCCCCACAAGTATTCTGAGGCTTCCACTGAAGCTTAACCGAAGTTTCACACAATTCCCCCATGCACTCGGGCTCTGTCAACCAAATAGTTCTACCTCTGATGCCCCTACTTCAATATACAGAGAAAAACACATGTAATTTTTCTCTGTGTATTGAAGTATACAGAGAAAATCAGTCAGAGGTAGAACTATTTGGTTGACAGAGCCCGAGTGCATGGGGGAATTGTGTGAAACCTCGGTTAGGCTTCAGTGGAAGCCTCGAGATACTTTTGGGGGCAGTAGCACTCCAGGTTGCAATCCTTTCCGTGTCGTGGTGCAGTTGACTAGAGCGCGTCTGGGAGCACCCAGCGCATAGGTTCTAATTTTCATCAAGACACTCTTGAATTTCTTCATTGATATATCACGTTATTGTGATTTCTCTGTGTAATAATGATGATAATTTATTTGCAAAAAGGTACAATGGGTTGGTGAGATTACATTAGATTGGTATTTTTACATTCATGCAAAGAACACGCATAGCATTTCGGGCAGAAATGCTATGCATGTTGATGAAATGGTAATATAAAATGTCTCATCTTCCTCTTCTGGCATGGCTATTTAATTCCAAATCTTCAGAAATACCGTATGGGAAGGTGCCGATTCTGTACGTGGACGAGAAGCCGCTGAGCCAATCAGTGGCAATATGCCGTTACCTGGGGAGGACGCACGGCCTGGCAGTCGAGGACCCGTGGGAGGCGGCCAAGGGCGACGAGGTGGCCGACTCCGTCCACGACCTACTTCCTCACGCTGCCCAGATAGTTTATGCTAAGTGGGTATATCAAACTTGTTTCTTTTTGTTATTTTAATATTATGCCTTGTTAGAACTTTCCATATATGTTTGTATGTATCATATAAACTTTGTCCCATGTTGATCGTGGAGTGTATATGCGGAAACATTGAAGATTATCCGAGTAGGCATATAAGACTTGTTTCTCCTCAGTGTCAGGATACATCCAATTAACTCTCAGTTCCTCTATTGTCTCGCCTGGTAGAACAGAGTCATCAGCAAGTACCATTGATTTTTGTGTATGATATTTATATTGTATAATCTCGGCCTAAGATTATCCTTTAAGATAATTACAGAATCTACGTATGTGTTGTGATGTTTACAGTAACACAAGACTTACTTCCTCAAAACAATTAAACTATTATTCACTAAACACATTTTTTGTATTTTGTATATAGAGTATATGGAGCACCACTTGGCAAATGGAATTTAATATTAATAAATGCTGTGTTATTGAATATGGAATAGGAGAACATAGACCCCACACAACCTATAAATTATGTGAGAAATCTTTAAAGAATTCTGATAAAGAAAGAGATCCTAGGAGTGGTTCAATATAGAAAACTGTCACCTGAGGACCACATAAAGAACATTGTGCGAGGAGCCTATGTCACGCTTTCTAACTTCAGAATTGCTTTTAAATACATGGATTGTGAAATACTAAAGAAATTGTTCACGACTTTTGTACCAAAGTTGGAATATGCAGTGGTTGTATGGTGCCCATATCTTAAGAAGCACATCAACAAACTGGAAAAGGTGCAAAGACATGCCACTGTGGCTCTCAGAACTGAAGGGCAAGAGCTACAAGGAGAGGTTAGAGGCATTAAATATGCAAAAACTAGAAGATAGAAGAAAACGAGGCGATATGATCACTACGTACAAAATAGAAATCGATAAAATTGATAGGGAAGAATTCATGAGACCTGGAACTTCAAGAACAAGAAGTCATAGATTTAAACTAACGAAACAAAGCAGCTGGAGAAATATACGAAAATTCATTTTTGTAAACAGAGTGGTAGACGGTTGGAACAAGTTAGGTGAGAAGCTGGTGGAGGCCAAAACCGTCAGTAATTTCAAAGCGTTATATGACAGAGTGCTGGGAAGACGGGACACCACGAGCTTAGCTCTTATCCTATAACTACACTTAGGTAATTACACTTAGGTAAGTTGACCAGACCACACACTAGAAGTTGAAGGAACGACGACGTTTCGGTCCGTCCTGCACCAATTCTCAAGTCGATTGTGATGAGGAGGTAGAGAAAGGCAATAAATAGGTCTTGGTTGGGTCTTGTGTGGGACACACAGACCGCTTTCTTGTCTCTTCCTCCGACGGGTCTCCGTCGCCTGCGTTCCAGCTTTCGTCTGTTCCTGAGGGGCTCCCGGTTCATGTGGCAGCTGCTCGAGGGTTTGTGCAGGAACATGAACTTTGCCATGATGGTCTACCCACTGGGTTGGGTGTGTCTTCGTCGGCTGACCTGGTTCCTTCAGAGACATCCCTTCCACCTCTCTCGCGACCACCGAGTTCTGCCTCCTGGGGCTTTGCGTCGGTTGCTATGTCGCCGGCTTCCTCTTTGGGTTTTTCGGGGTTCAGTGCCTTGGCACCTACCCAAGTCCTTACTCGATGTGTTCACGGATGCATTGTGTCTCGGCTGGGGCTTTGTGACCAGTGTTCACCAGGCTGGCCAGGGAGGGAGGTGTCCAGTGTCCTGGCAGACAGCCTGTCCCAGTTCATTCCCCTGCCCACACATTGAACAGTCTACTCCAACTCGTTCAGTTGGTTCTGCCAAACATTTGCACCTACAGAAGTGAATCTTTGTGTCGGTGTGGTCGCGGCATCTCCCGGTATATGTGGCGGCCTTCCCCGACTTCAAGGCCATCGGTTATTAAGTCCAACTAGAATGTGGTCTATCCCCATGCCCACGACATTCGGAAATTTGCTGCTTTGGCTACCGTCTTTGGCAACATGTCTTGGGTTGACATTCGGGCACAGGGTTTTTGGAGGTCGAACAGGGTCCTGGCCTCTTGCTACCTTGTCAATGTCCCTGGTCCTCGTAGGGCCTGTGTTGCATTGGGTTGGTGATTGCAGCTAGTTGTCGCGACTTCGCGTTGAGGAGTGAGGACTGACTGCCTCTGGGTAAGTCCCTATGTTTTAGCTCCAGGGAGCCGACGGGGTTACCCCCAAAAAAACCAGCGTTGAATATAATGAAACGCCATCTTCTGGGTGAGACCCAGAGGCTCCCCCGGCATCCCTCCCTCCCTCCCTCTGGTCAGCAGTGTTTTCGCATGTTTTTGACATGCAAGTTAAGAACTACCGGTTGGATTGCCGGCACGATGGTCTGGGACTTCCCCTTTCCCTTCTTGGGGAGAGGGAAGTTGCACAGACAGCGGCGAGGCAATGTGATGACGTCACCTTATTTGCCAATTTTCATTGGGGAGTTCTGTCCACTGGTTTGGCTTTTGGTAGCAATGTTTTCATTAGAATAGGTGTTTGTTTAGGGGCGCCTACCTTTCTGGGGGCCAGACCCGGACAATGGCAGACATTCAAATTCAAATGCAAATTCAAATTCAAATGTTTATTCAGGTAAAGTACATACATACAAGGGGTGATACAAATATTGCTGAATTTATAGATAGAGCTAGTACATACAATGCCTAAAGCCATTATTATGCAAAGCGTTTCGGGCAGGAAAAACACTAAAGACTAAAACTTAATACTAATTGAGATTAAAGTATAATATGTGTTGAGACAATATAAAAATAAAAAAGGGAGAACATGGCAGAAAAACAGCAAAAATACAATTTGGTCGACACAAACAGCATTGTTTAAAAATAAGAGACATGGGTTGACATTATAGGGGTAAGGTAGGTTACAGGGAGTTAATTAGGTAGTGCTTAGTTTTCATCTTAAACTGGTTGAGAGAGGTACAGTCTTTAACATGGTTGGGAAGGTCATTCCACATTCTGGGTCCCTTGATTTGTAGAGCATTTCTAATTTGATTAAGTCGTACTCTTGGAATATCAAAAAGGTATTTGTTTCTGGTGTGGTGCTCATTGGTTCTGTTACAACCTACAGTGAAGCTTTTATGGTCAGAATTGGCATTACAGTTCAGTGTTTTATATATATATAATACACATGAGAGGATGTGCAGTGACTTAATATCTAACATTTTCAGAGAATGCTCCCAACCACATGGGGCCAACAGCCTATAGGCCACTGCTCCTCGTGTCTCTCCAAGGGTTGTGGTCCCCAGTAGGCAAGAACTCCATGCACTTTGATGCCAGAAAGCTAATAGTTACATATCAGCTTAGATACCTCCAGGGAGCCTCTGGGGCTCACCCAGAAAATGGAGTTTCATTACAATACAATACAACAATACAATTTTATTTAGGTAAGGTACATACATACAATAAATTTTTACAAGGATTGGTTGACTTATAGGTAGAGCTAGTACATACAATGCCTAAAGCCACTATTACGCAAAGCGTTTCGGGCATGATAAACTTAAATGACAAGCTTAATACTAATTGAGCATAATGAGTAGAATGAAAACAAGAAATGAAAACATAGATGAAAAAGCAGCACAAATACAATTATGTCGACAAACAGCGCTCTTTAAAGAAAAACAGACATTGGTTGACAATAGAAGGGTAAGGTAGGTTACAGGGAATTTATTAGGTATAGCTTCGCTTTTAACTTAAACTGGTTGAGAGAGGTACAGTCTTTAACATGGTTGGGAAGGTCATTCCACATTCTGGGCCCCTTGATTCATTACATTCAACACTGGTGTTTTTGCAGATATTTCTTCCATACCTTGATGGTCAAAGTGCCTGGGCACCATTCCTTCACAACATCAATACAATACAATACAATACAATTTTATTTAGGTAAGGTACATACATACAATAAATGTTTACAAGGATTGGTAGACTTATAGGTAGAGCTAGTACATACAATGCCTAAAGCCACTATTACGCAAAGCGTTTCGGGCATGACATCCTCATATCTTGTCATCGTATCCCTTCCAAGTGCTGTATAGTCATCTTGCTTAGTGTTTTCTCTTCACAATTTTGTACCCTCTGCCCTATCAACCCACTACCCTCTACCTACATAGCAGCAAGGGATATTAGTCTCAACAAAAAATTAAAATTCAACACTCTGTTTTCTCTTCAAAGTGATGAGTAACTTCAAACATTTAAAACACTTGTCAAAGCGTTGTCTCTTCCCATCATGTAACAAAACCATAGGAAAACCATATGTCTTTAACATACACTACTAAATTAGTGTCGCGGGAGTAATTGAGCAGATTTTATATGAAAAACTTGGCTTTTGCGTTATATTTAGGAACTCACTCCCTTTGGAACTCACTCCAGTGTTTGGAACTCACTCCCTGATAAATTAAAAAATTGTCCAACCCATGCCCTGTTCAAAAGTAAAATAAAAAAAATACCTAATTTCAACCTCATAGTTTTCCTACCTTGTGCTTCAAACTCGTACTGTATCTTGTACTACCCACTTCCCCAATACAGTATTAGTACGTGAGATATATATCCTTACAAGTGTAATCACCTCTGTCAACTTATATTGTAGTTATTTGTTGATATAAAAACCTTGCTATAATGGACCCTTTCATCTTACCTGATGTGTTAGAGTAACCCTTAAACTGCACAACATGCCTGCAGGCCCGCCCATGTCTGGTTTGTGCAAAGCGCCTCCGGGTATTTTTATTTTTCACATTCCATTCAAAACTGGCGCACGGTGATGCAGATATAGTATGAATGGCTGGGGGCCCCAGTGACCGTCCGCCATCTTGAAAAAAAATCCCAGCATGCCCCGCGGCCGTGGGGAGCCTCAGTTTCACAGCAGCAACCATGTCTGACGCATCCTCTACGAGCTCCCGCTCCACGGTGACCCGGGGAAATACGCGATATTTTGTATGATGACGTTGCTATGGATGATGACCTAGATTATGATCCAGAGAAAGACCTTACTCAGAGATCTGATACGAGTGAGGGAAAGACGGAATTGGAAGATGTGGCGAGCGTGTACGGTACACGCGCCCTGCCCGGCCTGCCTCTCCGCCCTGGGTCAACACCATTATCATCACCAACATCATGTATGTCCCCAGACGCTAGTAGTTTATTCAGTGATAGTACATGTGACGAATCTTTCTCGGGCTTCAGTGACATTGGCTTCGATACGAGTAGTGTGGACGACCCGAGTATGAGCAGCGGTGGTGTTACCAGGCGGGGTTTTGCTGCCTCAGTAACACGTAGAGGCAGGCGACAGCGTGTCTCCCAGCATGACGACAATGGGCCTTCAACATCATTTGTTTGTGGTAGGCCTACAGTACGTAAATCTGCCTCGGCGCCTAGCACACCCTCACGCAGCTCCAGCAGCAGCAGCAGCAGCAGCAGCAGACGTAGCCGTGGTCTTGGTGCTCGTGGTGGTGTTGGCCGTGGTGTTGGCGCCAACACCAAACCCCCTGGTGTAATTGTGTGGGAGGATTGCACCACATTTGTCCCTCAAATACCAACGTTTGATGATACCAATGTTGGTGTTACAGCATTATTCCCATATACCGGTAATGATATGGCAAACATGGAATATTTCGTAGACGCATCTTGTGACTGAGACAAACAGGTACGCTCACAGCCTCATAGACACAGGCATTTTACCTGCCTCACTCCTCACGCGATGGAAGGACACGACAGTCGATGAAATGTACGTGTTTCTAGCACTCAGCATGATGATGCACACTTGAGAAAGCTGTCATCCAGGATTATTGAAGCAAAGACAGCCTTGTTCCATTGCCTTGTGTTCAACCGGTACATGTCGCGTGATAGGTTTCTCTTGATTCTCAGGTGCCTGCATTTTGAGAATAATGCAAATGAGGACAGACACGACAGACTGTGGAAAGTACGGAAGATGTTCAGTGATATGAGAGGGAAGTTCAGGGATTATTTTGTACCTGCACAGAATGTGGTTATTGACGAGTTGCTTGTACTGTTCAAGGGGCGACTGGCATTCAAGTAGTACATCCCATCAAAGCGGCACCGTTTTGAACTGAAGTTTTTTGTGCTGTGAGACTGGTATCGTCTTGGACATATTATATTCTGGTACAGACGTCGACATACCAGCTCAAGATGAACACGGATTCTCTGGCAGTGTCGTAAAAATCCTGATGGAACCGTTGCTGAACAAGGGGCATATACTGTTCACCGGCAACTATTACACCAGCCCCTTGTTGACCAGATACCTCCTTGCCCACAACACCGGCATATGTGGCACTGTGAAGGCCCACAGGAAGGAAATGCCAGTGTTCGGTATAGGTATAGCCGTGAGTGCCAGCAACGCAAGTGTGACAATACGCTGTCAGTGCGGTGGAAGGACAGACGCGCGGTTAATATGCGCGTCACCATAAATGTGACATGATGCTTGGTAGAGTGGAGTGCGTGCGCAAGTCTGTGAAGTGGACGAAAAAGTTCTTCTTCCACCTCATGGATGTTGCAGTGCTCAACTGCTTCAATATGTACCTAGTAAAATCCGGCAGGCGACCGTCTATATGTACTGGTGCTGGTGTTGTGTCACAGCTGCTAGTAAAGTATGGCAAGGAGGGCTCCATTGTACCGCGCGGGGTGCAAGCAACAATGCCACACACAGCCCCAGACAGACTGCGGGGTAATGAGAACTTCGGAGTACACATGCTCGAGTGTATGCCAGGCACAGCATCACGGGAAAAGGGTAAACATGTGTGTATAGTATGCAGGAACACTACCCACAGAGAACAAAAGCGAAGATGCATCAGCACCTGGTGCATGGAGTGGAAGGTGCCACTCTGTGCCATTGGCTGTTTCGCAGCATATCGCACACTCGCGGAGTACTGAGTGTGTTTATGGTGTGTGTGTGTGTGTGTATATAGTGTGTGATACTGTACAGTGTGTATATAAAGTGTAAATATAAATATATTAGGCATGATACATTGGAAATTGTGCAGGATAAGTGAACTTGTTTGTGATGCACGTAACACAGTGTCTACGGACAGTACAGATATTCTACTGCCATAATATAGTGTACGTGTTCATTATACATTGAATTGGCACGTAAAAACAATTAAATTGTATTTGGAACTGTGCGCAAAAAATGAACGAAAATATATTCGCGGCAACTCACACGCCCCGCCCCGCCCCAAACGTCCTACTGGCCCCGGGAGCATACGTCACGGGCAAACGGGGAATTATGACGTCACGCCCCAACTTACGGACCCCATAACAGCCAAAGTAAGTACAATTTTTATTTTTTTTTTACATACCCATACCCAGGGAAGGGTTTTTGACACTTTAAAAAAAAAAAAAATAACAGATAATTTTTTCCTGTGCACTGGGGGTGTGTCATATATGGAGGAAACACAGTTAAGGGGTTAAGGACCTGGCCGAAACGCTACGCGTATTAGTGACTTTACATGAATGTAAAAATACCAGTCTTATATAATCTCACCAACCCATTGTACCTTCTTGCAAATAAATTATTATTATTATTATTATCATCATCTCCATGAATAATAATTCCTTTTTACAAAGAACAGTAAATAAGAATGGGTTACTTGGTCACCTCCTGATGTGTGCCTTGGCCATTCTTTGGATATTGATGCTACATAAATTGTTCAGATACATACAGGATGATAAGCTAAATCAAGCAGTACAGTATATTTCAGTATATTTCAGTATTTATTTCAATCTCTAAACAAAAATTAAGATTCAAAATAAAATGTTCTGGATCCGCCAATGTGGTAGGCCTACAGTTTTGATTTTTCAGCCTATTTCGACATACCAATAAATGTCGGTAGTAATTACCTAAGTGTAATTACCTAAGTGTAGTTACAGGATAAGAGCTACGCTCGTGGTGTCCGGTCTTCCCAGCACTCTTTGTCATTGTCCTTGTGAGTTTCGTAGCAGCCAGAGGCCGAAAAGTAAAGTTATGTGACGACTTTACTGGTTATTTGGATGTTGTTCCTCCCCTGCAAGAATTACACTGTGGTACAAGCTAAATTAATTTTCAAATAGTTTGTACCCCTAAAACATGACCTCCCGTCTTTAGTCAAACACTTAGATATGGCTTTACAATTTAAGGAGTTAAAAGATGAGGAAATATGTAAGTGAGAAAGTCATTAGTAACGTAGTCATTAATGAAGAATGTATTGTCTTTAGCTGGCCACGATCACGGCGGAGGCTAGCTCCCCGGCCATACTTAAGGTAAGATACACATTTCTAATTTGGTAATGAATTATTCCAGATATCTTCTGAAAGATGCTTTACTCTTGAGTAAATCTTTTGCATGATGAGCTTAGTACTTTTGGGAAACAATTCAGTTTTTATACATTTTAAACAATATATTGTGTTTTCAAATGTAAATGTAAGAAATATTATACAATGTTTTCAGAGTATTTTGTCATTTCTACGGTCATTTTGATAAGATGACAGAGAAACGTGAAGGCCAATATAACAATTATTTTCAGATTTTATATAAATATATAACCAAGATCGTGATTATATCACACCCCTTAATTTTAGAAATCCAAATCCAAAGCATGAAATGCAAAGTATGCCAGGCTTGTAGTTTTTCTTTTCTTCTCTCATACATTTTACTTAAAAATTGTTGCTTAAAATCATTTAAGCATCATGCCAACCATGTGTTTGCATGTATGGCACATGAAATACTCTATTGTCCTTCATTAGAAAATTAAGCCAACCCAATAGCTTTGGCTTCTGGGAGGCAAAACACGCTCTTTTGGTAGGAAATAGTAGCCCGACAGGACATTCAGTGTGGCCCAACTATACAATACAATACAATACAATTTTATTTAGGTAAGGTACATACATACAATAAATATTTACAAGGATTGTTTGACTTATAGGTAGAGCTAGTACATACAATGCCTAAAGCCACTATTACGCAAAGCGTTTCGGGCAACTGATTCATTTGGTCTGTCAATTTTGGCTAGGATCAAGTGTTTAGTAAAGAGTTTAAGTCTCTCTCTTTGTCTTTGGAATGTCATGCAGACCCCATTCAATTTACCTGCATATAACACTACTATAGAAAGATGGTAATGTCAAATTCAGAGATAAGTAAATTTATTTGGATCTTTCAATATTTTCTTAAAAAGGATGGTGATGACAATTACCAAACATGTTCTAAAAAGCAAGGGCCCCTAACACACTAGCCTCAACAAGGACAAGAAGCCGACAGCTTGTCAAAGGTATTCCCATTTGTCCTAAGGATTTTTTCCAGCTGGATTTGAAATTTTATCAGTTTTGACATCTACGGATTCATCAGATAGGCAGTTCCATGGGGTTATAATCCTGTGGGTGAAAAGGCATCTCTTGTTTTCAGTCCTACATTGTATCTTGTTGAGCACGAAAGCATTGCTTTTTGTGTGTGTTACATCTCACCTTTTGGAGAAATTGTCTGGATCAACATCATCCATATTCTTCAGTATTTTAAAAACTTCTATGACCTCTGCCCTGTCATGCCTGTTTAGCAAGTATATTATGTCAGTAATATACTTCCTCCATATTCTACTTTATTCCTATTTTAATTATTAATTCCTAATTAATATTCCTCCATATTCTCCATAGTATACAAAAAAATCTTGTGTTACGTCTGACCTTCTGAAGAAATTGACTGGATCGACATCCTCCAAATTGCTCAGTATTTTAAGTTTCAATGAGATCCACCCAGTCATGCCTGGTTTGCAGTGTTGTTAGTCCAGTGGCTCTCAATCATTCCTGATATGTGAGATGACTAAGCTCTGGAATGATTTTTGTTTCCCGGTGTTACACCTTCTCCAGAGCAGCTGTCTTTCTAAAGATGAGGTCTCCATGTCTGGATAGACTAATCCAGGTGGGTGGCACACTAGAGACTTGTACAATTGAATGACTACTTTCTTTTCCTTGAAGGTAAAGGTACGCTTGATTATTCCCATGGTTTGGTTCACTTTTTTTAACTGCCGCTCCCACTTGTTGTGCAACTTTTATTGAATGATGGATTCTGACTCCTTTTCTTCATATATCTGTTGTAAGGTAGTGCTGTCAATTTGGTAGTTGTGATGTGGATTGTGGTGCCCCACATGTAAGGTCTTGCATTTATCGATATTAACCCTTCTGTTGCTAAGGGCTATTTGGCCATTGTCACCCACAGGCGCATAACAACAACAACAAAAATCTTTTTTCTTCTAAACCTGTTAATTTGTTTTCCCTGGTCACGGAAAAAATAATAAAAAAAAACGTAAGTGGCATATTTTGCCCGCTATAGGGCAGGGAAGTCTGGCAAAAAAGAGGCGCTGACTCAGCGTGCATCGGGAGGCGGTCTGTTCAGCCCCAGCTGTCAGGCAGGAGTGGCCACAAAGAGATAATTCCCTAATTATTTCAATGTCTCTGATTGATTTTTCTTTGTTTTTTTGCTGTAATATTATTCAATAGCGTAGTGTGATATATTTATATAATAAAGTGTGTGAATCATCACTGTGCTCAAAATTATGGTGTGCATATTATTGATTCAATTATTGTGTTCATAAAACAATAAACAAATACTTTGTCAGTTATTACACTATATACACAGGTTATATATACATATCTGCATGTTTTGTTCACCATAACTAACCACTAAGTTGATATTGCAAGTCAAAGAGCAGCGAGGTGTGGCCACCACATCTGCCAGCCTCTCTCTCACTGCCACTCCCTCAATGACTCCTCACTTGCCCACATCCTCCTCCCACCATACTGTTCATGCTTTTATTCACTATATACAGATGTTATATAAGTATCTACATGCTCTGTTCACCATAACTGTTCATCTAAGCTGGTATAGTGCCCAAACAGCATAGGGGCCACCCCTACCCAGCATGATAAATCATGCAGATGTTGCCACCTCCCTCACCAAAATGGCTTCTCCCACACTCCATTTGCTGTTATTACACTAAATATACACGTTTTATATAGGTATCTACATTTGTGTTCACCATAACGAACCACTAAGTTGTTATGCTGAGGGACAGTGGCAGTCCGCCACTGGTTGTGAATCGCTCCCTCCCTCACCTCGCCTCACCACCATTCTCCTCCCATCATACTGTTTTTGCTTTTATTCATTATATACAGACGTTATATATAAGTATCTGCATGTTTTGTTCACCATAGCAAACTACTAAGCTGGTATAATGAGCCCAGACAGTAAAAGGTGGTCACATAGTCAGCAGATAATAATAATAATAATAATATTTATTTAGGTAAAGGTACATACATAGAGATTTTACAAAGTTTGTTGGCTTTATAGATAGAGCTAGTACATACAATGCCTAAAGCCACTATTACGCAAAGCGTTTCGGGCAGGAAAAAACACTAATGACTAAAGCTTAAAACTAATGGGTAAAAAGAACAAAATGTGTTGAGTACAAATAAAAATAGAGGTAAAAGAGAGGGGAACATTGTTGAAAAAGCAGCACAAATACAATTACAAATTATTACAGAAAATTACATTCAAACAAATAATGCTACCTCCCTCCCCACTAAGATTACTCCTCCCACTACAGCGCTAATTATCACAACAATCCTGCTATTATCGGAATCCTGGTCATTATTATCACAGTCAGGGGTCTTCTGTAATACTATCATCTCTAAATAATAGCATGTACATATAATGGAATTTTTAAGGAATGTTGTGGTCACAAGCTGGTCAGCAGTGCTGTGAGCTCCTGCTATGTGCGCCAGTCTTGGTGGCTCACTCAGTACTGAGGCCGTCACACCCGGGAATGTGGCCCACGATTTAAAAAAAAAATGGCATCTGTTTACAAGATCCCTGATGAAGGTGAGGTGAACCCCGTGTATCTGCGGGCCGTTTAAATCTTGCGTAGTACTCCATCGCGTCATATTGCAAATTACTCAACTCTGCATATGACGTGTTACACAGTTTAAGGGTTAAAAAGCATTTGCCAGTCATCTGACCATTTTCAGCATATATTTCCGTGGTGCAGTGGTAAGACACTCGCTTGGCGTTCCGCAAGCGCTTTATCATGGGTTCGTATCCTGGCCAGGGAGGATTTACTGGGTGCAAGTCCTTAACTGTAGCCTCTGTTTAACTCAACAGTAAAAAGAGCAATTGATTGTAAAAACAATTCTTCGCAGCGAGGATCGTATTCAGGGACCTGCCCAAAACGCTACGCGTACTAGTGGCTGTACAAAAATGTAACAGCTCTTGTATATATCTCAAAAAAAAAAAAAAAAATAGGTTTGCAGCATATACCTTGTATATTTTAAACCAATGATTTATAATACAGTTATAACTTGAGAATAAGCTATTTAGGACAAAGGTTCACTTGCCAGTTTGTATGTAGCCTGTTATTGGAACCATAATATTCTTTCAGACCATCACAAATATCTAGATAACTATCCAGGTGGTTTGAGGGGGGGATGGGGTTTCTCATGGTAATGGATTTGCTCATAGGACAGGCACCAGTACACATTGAATATACATTATTTTGTTCCTATTTTGAAAGTTTTACATGGTTTTTTAAAGTGCAATATTGCATTGGGCTGTCAATATTATTTTCTGTCATAAAATATGTAAAATATCGGTACAGATGTATATTCAGGGAACTTTTTTTTCATTAACAATCTAGGGTATACACAGCAATGTGCTACTACCATATTCTATGCAAAAAGGTTAGTGTAGTGTTTAAATTCTAAAGGAATATAGTTATTGTTTAAAGATGCTTAGATGCACTAAACAATGGCAGTGATGTGGCTGTGTGCATTGTGCTGTTAACATCATAAACAGCAGTATGTTCACTGACATCTGAACATTGTACATAGCCTTTATTATAATGAGGATCTTCTATGATGCTTTTGTCAAATAGATGCAGTTACTTATACAATATAATATAATTTTTAAGTGATACTGTAGACACACGCTGAACAGCAATACTGTTAGTTCATGCTGCATGTATGAGCCTCGGTTGCTCACCAAATACCGAGGCCCTCACACCCAGAAATGGTGTCCATTATTATTATTATTATTATTATTATTATTATTATTATTATTATTATTATTATTATTATTATTATTATTATTATTAACAACTTTTTTCTCCAAAATGTTATGTTTACTATGTAGCGAGTAAACCTTATACTCGGTCCAATCTCTCATTACCTTAATGACAAACTAATTAGCACTAATTATGACTACTCAAATCCTTTCCCCTAATTACAGGCAACACTTTTTACATCCTGTTGGAGGAAGTTGAGGTGTAGTCACCAAATATAAGCAAGCAATATGAGAATAGCCAACAGTACAATTTCCACAGTGAGTCAGATAACTCCAGTACAGATACTTTGGAGTTACCACACTTCTTCAACCTCAAGAATGTAGCACTCGGCATGTACAGCTTTAATCGACCCCAAGACGCTACAGCATTGACACAGAGCAGACAGCAGACTATGACCGCATCGAGCTACAACACACTCGCTCCTCATTGAGTTTAGAGACTCACGAATTTCCAGTCGAGCCGTCACGCTTTCCCGCATAGAGCTCCGCGACTCCTGCCCTCACTCAGCTCTCTGCTCTACTCCAAGCTCCGTCTGAATGTCTACGACAGTGCCAATGACCGACTACTGTATACAAGCCTACTAAATAAATATGAAACTCACTAAACACTGTGTATCTAATCTACCCAACAATGTAACATAATCGTACGTTACAACTAGAAGCCTGAGGAAGCCGATGTGAGCACTCTGTACCTGCAAGAGTTTTAAAATCTTATGCTGTACCCTAATACTTTCCCCGACAAGATAATTTATTGATAATTAGCAACCTTTACCTGATGGGATGCACAACTGAAGTGTTAGAGGCCCAGAATTGGAGGTATTGGTTTGGTAAACTCTATCACACCTCTTCCTTACCCTGCAGATCTGGTTCACCCAGCATTTGGTCTTTTTCCCCCTCGATTGGTTCCCGCTTTGAAGCATCCGAGGGTTTTGGAGTCGAAGGCTGCCTCTCAGCTCTGACTATAATAATAATAATAATTTTTATTTAGGCAAAGGTACATACATAAAGAGATTTTACAAAGTTTGTTGGCTTTATAGATAGGAGCTAGTACATACAATGCCTAAAGCCACTATTACGCAAAGCGTTTCGGGCAGAAACTACTTGACTCTGCAAAATGGAACAGAGTTGAGCTTTTGATGGCAGAGGCAGTTGAGGTTTCTTTTCCCACTGGGATGCAGAGTCTTCACCATTACATCCAGCTTTGATCCTTCTAACAACTCTCTCTTTCCTTGAGGGGCTTGGCAAATTCTGTAAAACTAAAATGCTTGAATTGCGAGAAGCAAGTTCCATATTAAAGGTGTTCATGGACAGTGCACATTCTCCACTCAAGGACTACTTGATTGTTCTGGTGCTTCCCAAGGTAGAATGGCCAGACATCCTACATTCTTACAAATCAACTCACCAAGTGTTTCAGGCAGGTCCTTAAGCTAAAGAATATAATAATAGGTACTTTGTAACAAAATTTACATTCACATAACTATCTCATTCTAAATAGAAAGAACAAATTATAATGAAGTTGTATTTCTTTAATAATAAACTGGGTGTGTAGGTAGCATGTGATGATCATCCCCTGCTTCCTGTACATCTGTGAGGTGTGGGAGGTTCTGTGACTGATGTGACAGTAGTGGGAAGCTATTTATTTATTTATTTATGCATATACAAGAATGTACATAAGGAATGTGAGGATACAATTATGGTAATTACAGTCTTGTAAAGCCACTAGCACGCGCAGCGTTTCGGGCAGGTCCTTAATCTAAGAAAATTTTAAGGAGGTAAATACTTGCAAAATTTATAGACAAAAAAATGATAACAGATTACATGGAATGAAAAAAAAAAAGATGAGAGAAAATTATAGGTACAGTATATTAAAGCACATAGGTAGCTATGATTGATTGCAATGACAGCTTAAAATGGTAGTTGACAACAAATTGGTAGGCACAATACAGCAGAAACAATATAAGATTGATTGCAATGACAGCTTAAAATGGTAGTTGACAACAAATTGGTAGGCACAATACAGCAGAAACAATATAAGATTGATTGCAATGACAGCTTGAATGGTAGTTGACAACAAATTGGTAGGCACAATACAGCAGAAACAACATAAGATTGATTGCAATGACAGCTTGAATGGTAGTTGACAACAAATTGGTAGGCACAATACAGCAGAAACAATATAAGATTGATTGCAATGACAGCTTGAATGGTAGTTGACAACAAATTGGTAGGCACAATACAGCAGAAACAATATAAGATTGATTGCAATGACAGCTTAAAATGGTAGTTGACAACAAATTGGTAGGCACAATACAGCAGAAACAATATAAGATTGATTGCAATGACAGCTTGAATGGTAGTTGACAACAAATTGGTAGGCACAATACAGCAGAAACAATATAAGATTGATTGCAATGACAGCTTAAAATGGTAGTTGACAACAAATTGGTAGGCACAATACAGCAGAAACAATATAAGATTGATTGCAATGACAGCTTAAAATGGTAGTTGACAACAAATTGGTAGGCACAATACAGCAGAAACAATATAAGATTGATTGCAATGACAGCTTGAATGGTAGTTGACAACAAATTGGTAGGCACAATACAGCAGAAACAATATAAGATTGATTGCAATGACAGCTTAAAATGGTAGTTGACAACAAATTGGTAGGCACAATACAGCAGAAACAATATAAGATTGATTGCAATGACAGCTTGAATGGTAGTTGACAACAAATTGGTAGGCACAATACAGCAGAAACAACATAAGATTGATTGCAATGACAGCTTGAATGGTAGTTGACAACAAATTGGTAGGCACAATACAGCAGAAACAATATAAGATTGATTGCAATGACAGCTTGAATGGTAGTTGACAAAAATTGGCAAGATAACTTGAGGAAGCCACCAGGGCTCTAGCAGAAAGAGGCAGTTCATTATATTCAATGCTGGTTTCTTCAACAGACATGCAAATGATGTAGAAAAGGCAAAGATGTTAGCAACAGAATTCTACACAAGCACACTTCCACCAGTGATGAGGGAGCTAGACCGCAGACTTGAGGGGCGAGAGTGGTTCTGCGGAGATAAGGTAATTTAAAATACAATACAGTATCACCATTTGTAGAACATCTTATGACACTCATTTGCCAAGGAACTGGTATTTATTCATATGCAGGCGATGAGTCACAATAACGTGGCTGAAGTATGTTGACCAGACCACACACTAGAAGTTGAAGGGACGACGACGTTTCGGTCCGTCCTGGACCATTCTCAAGTCGATAAAAATTCTCAAATTCTCGTTCTCAAATACCATTTTGGTATTTATTAATAATTACGGTAATCACAAACAATATAAAGGCCAACTGTGTTTTTGTTTTAATAATTTGATTATATTTAGTTTTTCCAGCTGATTATATTTTTTTATTTTATATTGCCCTGTATTGTATGATATAAACTGCTTGTAATGTAATTTCTGGTGTAATCAGTTGATTTAAACCTATCTTTGTTAATTTAGATTTGTGAACTAACTGTACTTGTTAGGGAACTGTACTTGATTCTCCTGCATAACATGTAACCACTTTTCATTCAGTATAAAACAGGATAAGGAAATACACTTAATAAACTTTTGAGCTTTTAACTTTTGTCTTCCATACTTTCTAACACTTTCCATGGCTCGTGTATTAAAAACTTTGGAGCAGCTCTTCCCCTCCTTGCAGCAGGCTCTACCAGACACAGCTGCAACTTACAATTACTACATTTTGTTACAGCATATGAAATGTGCTTGTTTCCATTGCCTCTTGAGTTTGCAACTACCAGATCTTTTCCTTATAATAAATGCTAATATTTAAATATGGAATTAAAACTAAGTAAAACATAAAACCAAATCATCCAGAGAAATACAAATTATTGAATGAAACAAAAAACCAGCGTTGATTGTAATGAAACGCCATTTTCTGGGTGAGATCCAGAGGCTCCCTGAAGCTATACTGGGCTGATGTGTATATATTAGACTATGGTAACAGTCAATCGATAGAGTTCTAGGCCTACCGGGGACCAGCACCAAAACCTGGCCCCCTCAGAGAAGCACGAGGAGCAATGGCCTCTAGACACCCCCCATGTAATTGGAAGCAGTCTGTCTGCCATCTACAAACTACAGCTGGTTAAAAATTGCAAACTGAAAGCCAGACTAGCAAATAGAACTCCCCAATCAAAAACAAGCAAACAAGCATGACGTCTCCACAGCCATCGCGCCACTGTCTGCACAACTTCCACCTCTCCGGGAGGGGGGAAGGGAAGTCCCAGACCTCCCGTGCCAGCTACCCAACCCCAGTTCAGAGGCTGAATATCTCAAAATGTGAAAAAAAAAAGCCAACCAAAGGGAGGGAGGGATGCCGGGGAGCCTCTGGGCCTCACCCAGAAAATGGCATTTCATTACATTCAACACTGATTTTCTGTGGAGAGCCCCTTTGGCTTCCCGGAGCTACCTAACCAAAGATGAAGGAAAAGAGGGACTTACACAGGAGGTGGCTGCCACTCACTCCTCAACTTGAAGTTGGGACAACTGGCTGTTGGGACAACTGCAATCCAAGGCTACACACGCCCGAGAAGTGCCAGAAATATGAACGAGATACTGTATGGCCAGGACCCTGTTTGACCTCCAAACTACTCATGCCTGAATGTCAGCCCAGGACATATTACCAAAAACAGCAGCTAAAGCTGCAAACTTACGAACATTGTGGGCATGGGGATAGACCACAAGCTAGCTAGACCAGATAATCCTGTGGAGGAGGCACCTGCACAAAAGCTTCACCAAAGGTCCACCTCGACAAGAAGAAACTTGATTGTACCCAAGAAGACTGCACCCAAGAAGTGCAGTCTGCAAGCCAGGAAGACCTCAGATCTCGAAGAGGCAAGTCCGGTGTTCACAGTAGGTAACCATCAAGGGCCACATGAATCTCCAAAGAGAAACCCAAGAGGAAGAAAAACCTCCAGAATGAAACCAAAGAGCCCAAAGGAACCTGGAAACAAACCTAGGGGGAGCCCAAATCATCACATTTTGACACCACAGGAGACAACGATTTAAACGATTCTTCGCGGCAGGGGATCGTATTCCAGGGACCATAGGATTAAGGACTTGCCCGAAACGCTACGCGTACTAGTGGCTGTACAAGAATGTAACAACTCTTGTATATATCTCAAAAAAAAAAAAAAAAAAAAAAAAAAAAAAAAAAAACGAGAAGTATCAAATAACATACAAGTGGAAAGTGGAAAATACTAGAGGGCCAGGTCCCAAATTTAAACAGTAAAATAACATACTGCTCAAAACACCATGCGTGCTAGCGGCTGTACAAGAATGTAAGAACTCATGTATATATAAATAAATCAAAATAATAAATATATATACAAAAAATACTAGAGTGAACAATATGAAAGAAAATGGAGAATAGAGCCAGTGAAGAGCAGAGATGCCATAGGCACAGTCAGAACACTGCATGAACATCAAAGGTCCAGCTGTTCAATAGTAATTACAAGAAATTATGCTGGAACAAAAGAAGAAGTCTTCAAGAAAAAACTTCACACATGCCAGAAGTGCCAGACCAACCAGGCTATAGTAGATATATGGACCTGCATGATGCTCGGCGCACCACCCCTTCGGTGCGCCGAAAATAAATTCTTTCCAAAAAATTATTTTCTCTTCTTATATTGTTAAAATGCAGTCTCTGATCATGGGAAACAAAAAAAAATATTGTGTGACATACTTTAGCCATAATGGAGCTGGGAAGTTGAGCAAATTATGGGTCCTGTTGGACCAAGCTCTCACAAGTAAAGCCTGGCCTGGGCCGAGCTTGAGGTGTAGAAGAACTCTCAGAACCTCATTTAGGTACAATCCAGGACTGAGGTCAACCCCTGGATGTGTCTTGTTGATTTCAAGTATGTCATACATTCTGGAATGTTTGTTGCTTGGTAGTTTGAATGTGAGAGGTTAGATTTGCCAGTTGAGTGCGTTATTTTGTGGTCATATCTAGCAAGTATTATATTGTAGTTCATTATTTGTAATATATATATACTTATACAGGTATATAATGTGTGTTGCCAATTTTTCTCTATGCATATTACCAGTCTAGTCAGGTAAACACATGTATTTCTGTATGTCATTATCTGACTAGATTGCAATGGATAGCATTTCTCCAGACTGCTATCCACTGCAATCAGTCTTACAAACAACTGGTTCCTTCTGTTGCATCCCATTTTCTTTTAGGCCAGGTTCCATTTGACTGGGCAGATTTTACAATCATAACTTTTCAACAGATGACATGGGTTGATGTGTATGCAGCCTGTTACCTTAGCCAACTCAGCACTCACCATGAAAGTTCGATGGAAGCAGTACCACGTCTGAAAAGTGTTGTCGATAGAGTACTGAAGCTTCCACAAATTGAAAAGTGGATAAAAGAGCGTCCAGATACTCCAATGTAAAATGTAGAATAACATACAGTATATGATGAGGGTCTTCATAATACAATCATTTACTGAACTTAATTCTATTCTTCTCTGAAGATAAATGACTGATTTATTATTATGTAAGTTCTAAATACTGCTGTCATATATTAAACTTTGTATAATTTTTGAATGCATATGTAATGTGAAATTAAATATTTTAATATATTATAAAGTCTGATAATTTAAATTGTATACTAAAATAACAGTACAGAAATAATTATTTGTTAAAATGTCTTAACCACTGCACAGCTCTGCATTAACCCTTAAACAGTGCAAATCATACATATATGATTTGAGTAACTGTCACAAAACGGCACAAATCATATATATATATATATATGATTTGTTTATTTAAAATAGTTAAAATAGTCCTACACACACACACAGAGCTCACACCTGCTTCCTCAGACCACCAGTAACCATCCCCCATCTTGAAAAAAAAATCCAGAGTCCCTCACTTTCCTTCTAGGGCCTTTGTAAGAAAATGATGAGCATTGTTTGGCAACATCACCATCCAGTATGTTTAGGGCAGCCATAGAGGAGACACTAAACTTTTAGCAACAGCAAATGAGTGATTACCATGTATATATTTGAGGCAAAATGTGTGCTATATGCAATTTTAAGATTTAGGCTTAAAATATATTTATACATGTATTATTATGAATAAGTATGTGGGTGTCTTTATATCTTTACTTGTATATCCATACATACTTATATTTTCAAAGTTTTATATAATAGACCGTATCTTTGACACACAAATACAACCTGTTAGCATGAAAAGACTAAATTAATAAATTGAGAAACAATGAAAATAAATCAACAAAGTTATTCCTATGTGGCACCTCAACTAAAAGTATGCAACTTCTCCAGGGGCCAGATTCACGAAAGCACTTACGCAAGTACTTACGAACGTGTACATTTTTCCTCAATCTTTGACGGCTTTGGTTACATTTATTAAGCAGTTTACAAACATGAAAACTTCCCATTCAACTGTTATTGTTATAAACAGCCGCCTGGTGCTTCGGAGCTCATTAACTGTTCAATAATTGTAAACAAAGCCGCCAAAGATTGAGAAAAGATGTACAGGTTCGTAAGTGCTTTCGTGAATCTGGCCCCAGGCCACTACAGCTAAACCACAAGAGCTAGAGACTTTTTATTTGGATTTTTGTGCTTCCTGAAGGCTAAATAACAATGTCATAAGAAAAAATAATTTTTTCAGAACAATTTTTTTTCTTGAGCACCCTGAGAATCCCTGAGAATGTTTGCTATTTAACAGTTAGCGGTTTAAGGGTTAAAATATGACACCGCAGTGGTGTGCCGAAAATAAATTCTTTTCAAAAAATTATTTTCTCATCTTATGTTGTTAAAATGCAGTCTCTGATCACGGGAAACAAAAAAAAAAAAATATTGTATGTGACATACTTTAGCTGTAATGGAGCTGGGAAGTTTAGCAAATTGTGGGCGCGGAGCAATGGAGCGCTGAACGATGGAGAGCTCGAGGTCACTCGGCCCCAATTATTTTGATGTTTCTCATTCATTTCTATTTTTGGTATTTTGCTGTAATATTATTCAAAAGTGTGTAATTTGCGTTATTTATATAGTTCACTGTGTGGAAAATCTAAATGCTCAAAATTATGGGGCTCATATGTGACATATATATTATATTCTACGAGCAATCAAACAGTGTTTTTGCTGTTATTACACTATATACACACACACATTGTATATACCTATCTACATATGTGTTCACATAACAAACCATTAAGTTAGTATGGTGAGCCCAAAAAATAAGAGTGGGCTGCCACAGCCCACTCTTATTTTTGCAAGAGCTTTTTATTTGTTTTTTTTTTTTTTTGTTTTTTTTTTCCACTCTTGCACAGTGCCTGTTTTAGACCAAAGCTGGAATATGCAGCAGTTGTATGGTGCCCATATCTTAAGAAGCACATCAACAAACTGGAAAGGTGCAAAGACATGCCACTAAGTGGCTCCTAGAACTGAAGGACAAGAGCTACGAGGAGAGGTTAGAGGCATTAAATTTGCAAAAACTAGAAGATAGAAGAAAAAGAGGTGATATGATCACTATGTACAAAATAGTAAAAGGAATCGATAAAATTGATAGGGAAGAATTCCTGAGACCCGGAACTTCAAGAACAAGAGGTCATAGATTTAAATTAACGAAACAAAGCTGCTGGAGAAATATAAGAAAATTCACTTTTGTAAACAGAGTGGTAGACGGTTGGAACAAGTTAGGTGAGAAGGTGGTGGAGGCCAAAACAGTCAGTAATTTCAAAGCGTTATGTGACAAAGAGTACTGGGGAGACGGGACACCATGAGCGTAGCCCTCATCCTGTAACTACACTTAGGTAATTTCACCCAACCAGTCCTCCCTCACTTCTTCAATACCTAACTTGCCAATATTACTCCTCCCTCAATACTGTTTGTAGTTTTATTTCACTATTTACACACACACATTATATATAAGTATCTACATGTTTTATTCACCATAACTGTACAACTAAGCTGTATGGTGTCTAAACAACATAGTGGCAACAAAAAACTGCATGACAAGTCACACAGCAGCTAGCAGATGACACTAGGAAACGATGCCAACTCTCACTCCTCCCACCATATTATGCACATCGCTAATTCTCACCACAATCCTGCTATTATCAGAAGCCTGGTCACTAAATCCTGTAAGTGAATAATTTTTCCACAAGTTTATTTTGTAAAGGAACATGAGAAGTTGTTTGAAGATTCTTAGATGGACAAAATAATAGCAATGTGCTGTGGCTAGTGCTGTGAACATCTTGAACAGCATTGATTCACTGATATCAGAACATTGTACACAGTCTTTATCAGAGTCAGACAATTCTGTAATACTATCATGGTCAAATAATACCAGTTGCATATATATTGAGATATTTTTAGGCGATTATGTGATCACAAGCTGAACAGCAGTGTTGTTAGCTCATGCTGCGTGTGCCAGCCTTGGTTGCTCACTCAGTACTGAAGTTCTCACACCCGAGAATGTTGCCCACGATTTTTTTTTAAATGGCGTCTGTTTACAAAAGCCCTGAGGAAACTGATGTGACTGCTGTGTAGCCGTGGGAGTTTTGAATGCTACACTATACCTACGAGCGCTCTGAGGCACCTTGCATACCACCGAAGTGCCTCAAGGTGCGTTGTACAATGCAGTGGTTAAACAGCCTATACATCTTCATTGGTAGCCCTGAAAGAATTATTAGAGTTTGAAGCAAGTTATATAATTGGATTCAAAATTTAATTTGATTTGCTATATGTACTGTACAGTACATAATACTATATTAATACTTAGATATTTGATAAAAAACAAAGAAAGTTTTGAGTGGATAATATGTTATAACATTTTGAATATATTGCAAAAAACTTTATTAAAGAGCTAAATCAACCTGTAATTCAGTAAAGCACCAGTTTTACGAAAGAAGTCCAGACTGAATAACTTGAAATACAAATGTAAGAAATATTATGAATGATATGCTGTGAAGTAGTCACATTACAGATTTATAATGGTAAATGATGAAAAGATTTATAAGTAAATTGCTTATTGAAAGAGATTGACATGGAAACTGGACAACCTAGTCATAATATTTAGGCATTATTTAATTTTTGAGAGTTCAACAGTTGCTTTGTTTAATTACAAAAAAAAAAGATTCTAGTGTTATTTTGTAAATTGCTAATTTGGTAAAGAAATGTCAGTACTTCAGGCTTTTGTGCATGCCAGAATTAGCATTCATATAATGTGCAGTCACCCGCAAATATTAATCAAATAGTTACATTTACCGTATTTGCCGGCATATAAGACATTCTTTTTTTTTATTTTAAAATATGTCAAAAAATTGCCCCTGCTTCTAATGCAGAAATATTACAGATGACAGACCGAGCACAATAGGCTAGGAATCCGGACGAGCACACTGGAAAAGTTTGCTAGGTACAAAAATCATTACAAGAGTTACATACATATACAAGAGTTGTTACATTCATGTACAGCCACTAGTACGCATAGCGTTTCGGGCAGGTCCCTGGAATACGATCCCCTGCCGTGAAGAATCGTTTTTTCATCCAAGTACACATTTTACTGTTGCGTTAAACAGAGGCTACAGTTAAGGAATTGCGCCCAGTAAATCCTCCCCGGCCAGGATACGAACCCATGACATAGCGCTCGCGGAACGCCAGGCGAGTGTCTTACCACTACACCACGGAGACTGTTTAATACTAATAACAAAATATTAAAAACAAGCCAAATTACTGCAGTAAATTGTGTTACTAATAATAAAATATTGAAAACAAGCCAAGTTATCAGTCTGTTATCACAAACTTATGAAAAATTGCCTACAATATGTTGGCGATTATGAAGGAAGTTCACATCTCACCACCTTACACAGTATCCATAACCCACACCTAATATATGTCATTCATTATTTAATAACTGTGTTACCTATAAGAAATATTTATTCATTATCTAAATGAAAAATGCTCCTAGAAATTTGAAAGGAATGTTAAACTTTCATCTGCCTGTCAGCTACTTGCAATGAGTCCGTGTCTGCAGTTTCCGTGGTTTGTAGTGTAGTGGTAAGTAGTGGTAAGGTGTAGTGGTAAGACACTCGCCTGGCGTTCCGCGAGCGCTATGTCATGGGTTCGTATCCTGGCCGGGGAGGATTTACTGGGCGCAATTCCTTAACTGTAGCCTCTGTTTAACGCAACAGTAAAATGTGTACTTGGATGAAAAAACGATTCTTCGCGGCAGGGGATCGTATTCCAGGGACCATAGGATTAAGGACTTGCCCGAAGCGCTACGCGTACTAGTGGCTGTACAAGAATGTAACAACTCTTGTATATATCTTCAAAAAAAGTGAATGACAACAAAACCAGAGCGCTGTGATGGTGTGTCACCACCGGGTGCACCGCCCTGGTGGTGACACACCAGGGCGGTGTGTCACGCCCTGGTGGCCTGATGTAGCAACACAAACCATCACAACCAGACATACAAGTTTCAAATCCTGTATAGCATTTCTCTTGCCCAAAATATATACAACTATACAGCTGATCTTAGAGGTGGTAAGAATTGAGGTACAAAAGCCACTTTAAAATATGTTTCAATAAAAGTATGATGAAACATACTAAAATAGTTTTTTCCTCTAAATATTCTTGTAAAATAATGATGCGTCCTATGCGAGGGTGCATCTTTTATGCCAGCAAATTTCATAAGTTATGAACTTTAAGATTTTTTAATTTGTAAAAGTCTTTGTAATTCCTCTTAAATACTGTAATTAGTGTTAAATTTTGACATATCTATTTAACAGAAATGTTAATTTGTTGTGATAGAATAATGCATTTTGAGTACAGTAATATGTAAATTG